GCTCGACACGACTTCTGGCGTGGAGGACAGGAAGACGGGTGGGGAGGCGGGTATTGCTTGGAGGGAGAGTCCCCCTCCCCACCGGAAGCCAAGGCCACGTGTCACGGGAGGGAAAATGGCCGCGGATCCTGTTCGTCACCCGATCCGGCGTTTGCAAACGGAAGCAAAATTTTGCGAACGGAGCTGTTCATGACCTGAATTGGTCGTGAACAGAAGCGTTCGTGACCCGAGGTACCACTATATTTGTAAAAACACTGAGATGGGATCCTTAAATTTTATACTATTTTGCAAATCACAAGATACACTGCTTTATCTTGTACTTGGCAGATTTGATTTTATAATTTAAAAGGTTGTTTTTTTAATATATGGACAAATAATAGTTTTATGAGGTGTTCCATTTGATCAACTAAATTAAATGTATAAGCACTGCAGTCCTGTACCATTAGTCTTGAAGTAAGTCCCAATGAGTTGAGTGTGACCTACTTTTGGGTGATGTGTATAGAATTGTACTGTAAATGCCAGTTCGATCATTTAACCTGTTGAAAAATAAACTAGTTTTAGTATTAAAGTTTAGTATTAGATTTAGGATAACTGAGGAGTTAACTTGTGTATCGTTTCCTTTCTTGATGTAGAAATTGGAAGAGAAAAAGAAATGCTTAGATGAAGAACTAGAAAAGATTTTGCATCAGCGTCAAGAGTTAGCTGTTCTGGAGGAAGATTTAAAAAGAAGAGAAGCGATTATTTTAAAGAAGGAAACACTGATGCAAGAGAAGAGCCATTTGGAAATTAAAAAACTGAGATCCAGCCAGGTACTTTTTTAATACTGCAGGATGCTAAGAATTGAAGTTAGAAAATTAGAAATTAGCATTGTGTGAGCACTTAGCTTTCTGTTGTCTTCAGTATAAAAATGTTGTAGCAACTTCAAATTTTTTTCTGAGAGGTATTGGATACATCTACTATTGAATGTTTTGTTCATTAATTTTTTTGCTCTTTCATCCATAATAGCCAATACATGTTAAACCAAAGCAGAAAATGTATTTTGTTACAGTATTTTCTATTATCAGACCAGATGATATATTTTAGTTTTAGGGCCCCTGTACAAGTAGCACTTGTGCCATTCCTAGACTGGCTTTGCATTTGCAAGTTTACCCTCTCTCTGTTGGACAAAATAGCGAATTAACTTCTCGCTATGCTATGTTGCAAATGGAATTGCTATGAAAATATTTTTGCAGGATAAATGCTGAAACTTTAGGGAGTTGGTGTTTCATTGACAGGAATTCTTACCTCGTCCCAACTTCTTAGTTCTGCACTTTCCCCCATGCCTATAAAGTTAAACTGCTAAGACACCATGCTTTCCTTTCACTTATCTTTTAAATTGAGCAGAGGCTCAGGCGTGACATAGCAGCTCCCTGTTACAGTGACCAGTTCAATTGAAATCACCAAAGAAGATAAAGAATTGTGGTGAAACAGTTTATTTGGTCAGAAGTCGTATAATTTTTCTAAGTATCTTTTAGGGATAAATGAATATATTTTAAAAACTTGCTGCCACTACCCCAAAGTCATAAACTTATATGTTTCTTATATTGGGGTTTGATCTTATATTCCTCTCTCCCCTATTCTTCTCCTGATAGTGTATTGTCTTAGGTAAGTAGAGTTACATGTTACTATATTCTGCCTCTTATTTACTCAGATGATCAGTTGATTAAGAACAATTAAAATGTTACTACATACTACAACATTGTATGAACAGTTAGTATAAGATGTTGTTTTTCTTTAACAGGGCGTATCAAAATTCTTCAATGCTTTTTAATAGAATGTTTAGTTTGTCACAAGGGCTACCAGTTATCGGTCTTTTCTTTTGCTTAAATATACTAGTTATGTTCTCATTCTTTTTCCTCTGTCCAACTGCCAGCTGCGTCTCTGTTTTCTTAATGGCCCATCTCCAAATTCACTTAGCCTTCTGCCTGTGTTCCTTATGAGGAATTACGCATTTCAATCTATTCTTGCATTCTATTAAAATAACAAACTACTATTTCATTGCAGTAATAACATGGTGCCAACTAGGCACTGATTTTTGCACTGTCTCATTGGTTAGGTGGAGAAAGGGCTGATGACCCATGCAGCTATCTCAGCATACTATTGAAGTTGGTTATGGCAAGAATAGTTTAAAGACAGTTAAAACAGCTGCTGGATGTTTGGGGAACAAACAGTCACAGTGGAAGTGCCCTTGCTGAAATTAAAGGAACTCACATTAGTCATGATTTCAGGGAAACAAAATCTGGCCAAACACCATCTGCATCTTACTTACATTATATTCATTGTACATAGTATACTGTAGTTCAGCAATGGGGGAATGGAGGAAAGAAGATGATATCCTAAGTTTCTAAAGAGTTTGCAGTAGAATATATTATATGAAAGTTTATGCCATAATAAATGGGATAGTCTTTAAAGTGCCACATCACTCTCCAAAATTATTGTTCTTAAAGGAATTATATCTTCCTTTGTGACTCTATAGGCTCTCAATGAAGATAGTTTGAAATTATCTACCCGTCTTAATATGTTAGATCAAGAACTTTGTGACAAAAATAAGCAGCTTCAGAGGAGCACCACTGATGAACAAGGGAAGATTTTTGAAGAGGTTCAGACTTTGCAGAAAGAAAGGGATCAACTGTTGAAAAGAAGAAACAGTGTGGATGAGAAATTAAAGAATGGCAGAGTATTATCACCAGAAGTATGTCATTATCTATTTGATAACTATTCACTACTGTTAATAGAAAAATCCAAATGTGTTCAAATTAATAGCTAAACTGTTAATATGTAGAGTTGGTAATTGTTTTTAACAAAGAAACAAGTTATTTTGTTAAAACTTTTCAGAAGAAATTATACAGTAAAAAGTATCTGCAGGAAAAGCTCCCTCTTCTCCCATTTTCTGTGTTTGATTATGTTTTTTTTTCTCTGCTCCTAAAAAACAGCAGCCCCTACATGCTAACTGAAGGAACATCACATGTGTAATGTTCTGATAGTAGCCAATAAAAGCATGAGTTTTCTTCTGGTAATCATATATCCTTTCCCCTTTTTACATTGACATCATTATCTGGTATTGTCACTATGGTACGGAATAGCTACTTTTCCCCTTTCTGTTCCTATAATGTTCCACGCACACAAAAATCTGTAACATGAGCTAAAACATACACCACATATCAGCAATGATTATTTGTAACAGTACACATTTTGATTATTCCTCCCATTTCTTTTAAATGCTGGGATAAATAGAGGACTTCCGGATTGAGAAAATGGTGGACTAACACATCTCTGAATAGTGGAGACAATGCTAAGGTGAAAACTGGTGGCCAGGCAGTAAACTCAGGCCATTGGAGCTTCTCTGGAAAAGGAGAAGCCAGGAGATTGCCCACTTGTGCTTCAGAAGGCAGCTCCTTGTGAAGAAACCTGCAGGATCTAGAGGGAACCTGCAGGCAACTTGCAAGTAGAGCACTGGGAGTTGTGAAAGAAAATATCAAGCTCACAGCCTCATGCAGAGTCTCTTTTAAGGACACTGTTTGCCTAAAACTCCACTTTCTAGCACACATTTGGATTACAAAAACTTTAAAAGTTACAGAGATCTTCTGAGCAGCAGAGCAACTAAACCATCTGGTAAGTGTTCCTTCGACGCAGGGCAAGATAAAAGTAAAAAGTAAAGAAATAATTATAAAGATTTAAAAACAATTAAAAGCAAAAAGCTTGCCAAGTTTGAATTATGAAAGTTTAAAATGGATTAAGGGAACAGCTGAATTTGGAATATTGTTTATTTTAAAGTATGTTTGAATTAATTAATTAATACATACTTCTGTGGGAATAAGTATCGTTCAAATTTGCTAAGTGGGATGATGAATTGGTTTCATTAAAGAGATAAGGGAAAGTTATGAAGATCATGTGGTTGTAGAACTATGGAGTGCCAAATGGGACTAAAGAGTTAAGGATATAGAGAAAGAAAAAAAAAGCCTCTGCTTTATTTTTTACTTCCCCTTTCTGGACTATAAATTAAAAAAGAGAAATGGCTACTACAGGTAGCCAACAGGTTAAGAATGCCCGGTTTAAGGACAATCCATAGTTAAGAACAGAGCCTACTGTAGCAAAATTTAAGTTAAATACATAATGATTCAAGTTAAATACACAATGGTTCCAGTTCATTACACAGTACTACTTATACAATATTATACAATAATACTGTTCCAGCTTACATACAAATTTGACTTACGGACAGACCCTGAGAACAGAACTTCTTAAACTGGGGACTTCCTCTACTAGGAAAGCAGCAAAAACCACAGAAGGGAGGAGAGGATCGTTAATAGAGCAAATAACAGAAAAAGGGACAACAACAGAGTTTTTACAGTGGATGTTTGAAGAATTGGGGAGGAATGTTATAGCATCAGTAACAGCATAAGTGACTGAATCCATTAAGAGAGATCTGTCTACATTTGAAGGATGGAAGAAAGATTTGCAAATATGGAAAAAAAGATGAATAAAAAATTTGAAGAATCTGTACTATAAATGAGTGGAAAGATTAAACAAATTAAAGAAAAAAATTTTTTGGAAAACAAGACAGAAATAATAAACCAAGCGATGGAAAAAGACCTATTACTTATTTAGCGTATGGCATTTCATACATGGACTTACATTAAATACTAACATTTAGTCTAAGTTAAAAGCACTTTAAAATATGAATATTAAAAAGATCTAAATTCAAATACCAGTGTCTAGGCCATCTAACCATTGAAGTGCAGCATCATTTATATTAAAAAAATCAGATATTGGGCCATTATATGCCCTCAGCTTACAGCTGTTCACAATGTGATCTATAGTTTGATTTGCGGCCCCGCAGTCACACTGAGGTGACAATGCCATACCCCATTTATGCAGTGAATCCTGGCAGACACCATGTAAGGTGCAAATCCTGTTCAAGGTCGTCCATTGCTGAATGAGATAGATCAAAACCTGGCACCTTTTGCGTAGGGTCATCTATATGTCTTCCTGTATCTGGGCGTTCAACGAACCATTTAACTTTCCACTGGGAGTCGATGTTGAAGTTGTTATGCAGATGTTGTGCAAGTACCAATAGGGGCTTCCTAGATTTAAGCCTTAAAGGCTTAAGACTAAAAAGACCTAGATAATGTGTCACTACTGGAATTAAGAGAGAATGAATTTTGCTTGAGATTGAGAGCAGTTCCAGAGGAACCTGATGAATATATAAGGGACAGATTGTTGAATCCGTAACAACATTTTGGGAATGGGATGAAGAAGATACGGATGAAGACATGGAAAAGGTGTACAGAATTATTACAAGATATTCAAAGTTAAGAAAAGTACAAAGAGACATACTTGTGCATTTTGTCAGGAAGAAGACAAGAGACCAGGTCCTACAACAAGATTTCAATACTAAGCTAAGGATCAATAATTCAGAAGTAATTCTGCTCAAAGAAATACCAGCTTATAGATGTATGGAGACATAAAAATGGTGACTCTAAATAATACACTTATTTCTTTGAAAGACACAGATCTTTCTGAAGAATAGGTATGTTTTGGATTTCTAAAAATCTTGTCATGTGTTAACAAATTGGAGAAATTGCCAAAGACTTTTTCAGATCATAACTCAGTGACTTTAACATATAAGAGGAGAGTTAGAATTTATAGATGGAAGCTAAATTAGACTTTGCTACAAAATCAACAATGGAGGACTGTAAAAAGAAATTGAAATAATTTTTCAGAATAATCTTAATAAAGGCACAGATATAAGGACAGTATGGGATGCTAGTAAAGTCTTTATGAAACGGTAATTTATACAGCAAAATAGTAAATTGAAAAGACAAAGACAAGAAGATGCAAAAGATTTTAATAGAGATAAAGATGAAAGAGAAGGAATTAAGGAGATATCCAGGAAGGAAAAATGTCTCAGAGCAAATTAAACTTCTACAACACCAGCTTTCCATGTTAACGATAAGAGATATGGAAACAAAAATGAACTTTGCAAAACAGAAGAATTTTGAATTAACAAATAAGCCGGGGAAATGGTTGACATATAAATTAAAAGAAGAAAGTGAGAAGAAAATGATATGAAAATTACAAAATGGGAAAACTACGGTAACAGACAATGCAAGTATGCAAAGAATATTCCATCAGTATTATACAAAATTATATAAAGGAGAAGAAATTTCCCCAACAAAAGTGGATGAATATTTAAAGAAACAAAATATACCAAAGATAACGGATAAACAAAAGCAGATGATGAATGGACCTATAACAATAAGGGAAATCTGTGAGGCTATAAAAAAGGCTAAAATAGGGAAAGCACCTGGTCCAGATGGACTGCCGGCCTCCTATTAGAAACATTTTGAAGATGACTTGTTACAACCTCTTCAAAACATGATGAATTCCATTGTAGATAATGGAAGGATACTAGACAGCTGGATAGGTGCAAATATAGCACTAATTCCATTCTGAGTAACTTTTACTTACATAAAAATCTCTAATGGAATTACACACACACACACACATGCACACACATATATTATTGAGATAAATAAATAAAAAATATCCCTTGTGTTTGGTATATTTAAGTCTGCATACTTAATTCCATTATAGACAGAAGTCTTTTTCAAGCACAATAGACAAGTAATTTGAGAATTGGTTCCTTTTCTATAGACGTTTACATACTGTTCCTGCTTTCTCTGAGAAGCATATGATTAATTGTAATACTTTTGAAATTTCTGCTTTCTTTCTAGGAAGAACATGTGCTATTCCAGCTTGAGGAAGGAATTGAAACCTTGGAAGCTGCAATTGCTTATAAGAATGAAAGCATACAAAAGCATCAAAACTCAATCAGAGTCTCATCTCAGATCCTTACACAAAGTGAAGCCAGTGTGATGGGAAAGTTGGTATCCTTGTCTGCCACTGAGCTGCGCGCAATTCTTTTAAAATATTTTAACAAGGTTTGTCAGAATAATATTCAGCAATGAAAATTCTGCCCATTCTTTTTATTGGCACAAAATGGCCATCTGATATACTTTCTTCTGGTAATTCATCAACGTATGAGTTGTGCAAAAATGAAATTTGTATGAAAATACAGCATACAAAAACTGATTATTCATTTTTGGATTCTTGCACTAGACAGAGAAGGTTTTTCCCAACATTTACATTTACATTATATTATTATTTGAACTTAAATTGTAGCACATATTTAAAAAGTAGCCATTCTATCTAAGTGCACATATAAATAATTTAAAAATGTTGTTTCTGGTAATTATTTGTTATAACTCTGGGAGCAGTGAAACCTCTGATGTTTTTATAAAATGTTATATGTTTCATAGAACATTTGAATTAGATTATCTTATTAACAATTCCTATTCAAGGTTGTAAATAGCGTGTTTTTTTCAGCTATCTTAAACAACAATGTATTAAATTTCTATTCTGATAGCACAGAAAGAGATTGTTTTTTCTTGTTTGTTAATTCTTTTTTTTTATAATAATATTTTATTGAAGTTTTAGAATTACAGAGTTAAAAGTCAGAAATGAAAAAGAAAA